TGCAACAAATTTAAAGCTAAAGGATAACTTTCTGAATAGCAGACTGAAAGCTTGATGCTGCCGGTCGGTCAAGATGTAAAGTCCTAATATGAAAGATTAAAGTTCCCACAGCACCAAAAAACAGGTCATCGGCTATTAGGATAGCTGAAATTGATTGTAATGCTAGCTTTAATATAAGTCTGTCAAGCACTGGAACTCAACCCATTGATATATTACTTTTATAATTGATTGTAGTGAAACTCATTCTGTTTTTCACCAACGTAGCTATCTACAGAAACTGCAACTATTTGAATGGAGGTTTTGAAGGGTAAATTGAATGGAAGAACAAAGAGAATCATTCCAATATTTTCAGAAGTGGTGGAGGTCACAGTATATTACAAAAATCAGCACACTGGATTATGTGAGCAGTCACATTCTTGCTTTACCAGTTTCATAATCTTTACACTGCTTTTGGTGATTCCGCACTATTGCTTAGAAAGCACGTATGATTACAGAACAACAATTGCACTGAATAAGGTCCGAATATTTTTAAACCAGGCTAACATGAATTCAGATTTTGGTAATAAAAACAGCTGCCTGTGATGCATAAAAGGTTTGAAGCTTATTTCAGAAAGGCACCTTCCTGGAAGCTTCCAGCCTCACAGAATTTGAGATTGCTCTTCGATGAATTTTTCAAGGTTGCGCTTCTACAAACTGGTCTTCATTAATTGGTAATGTTAGCCCCTTTAAAACATACCTACAGCCCCTTAAACATTCTCGCACCCAAAACGTGAAACATTGTGATTGAGCACCACTTTGAGAGAGACCAGGCATCTTGCAGGCTTCTCACAATTCACAAGCGGGTTAATAGAGATATTTTCTTTAATGTTTCGCATGGGAAATAAGCAGTCAAATTCCTTGATGAAGATTGTATACGGAATGATAGAGGATCCCATAACTAAAGAATGATCTGATACGAAGATCTAGCAAACAAAAACTCCTGTTGTTCAAAACAACTTGTATCATTCTTTGGGAATGTGTCCCAGTTCCTCCATTTAGTCGATTAATATGCACAAGAAGTTCTGCAGAAGAATTTCAGTAAAGGTCTGCTGTTTTAAATTCTTTTCTCCATTTGGGGGTGTAAAAATCTTTATTCAGCATACAAAGGCAGCTACAGGAAGAGTTTGAATTTAGTTCAACCAGTCCTTTCACATAGCCTTAATAAATCATTAAAATTTTACTCTGTATTGGGCTGTTTTTTTATTATTTAATTTGATCTTGAGCACCTATTAAATCATTGGTGTTTAGACAGCGATGATGTTTTGGTAATTCAGATTCTCACCTCACTGTTGCCCCATTAAGTGTCTTATCAAAATTACCTTCTCCAAAATGGATGTCTTCTCAACAGGTATAAATAAACAGATCTATTTTCTAGTCACTGCCCCCAACTACTGGGATATGTTTTTTTTTGCAATGCTGTTTATAGAGGATCTTGAGTATTTTTGCAAAACCAATCTTTAAAGCAAATTACTTATGACTGAAAAGGAAAAGGGGGGAGGGGGTGGGGGTGATTTTACAATTCTCAAGGAACGTTTGACTGTTTTCCAAAAATGCACAACACTGTACATTTTAAATAATGTTGGCTTGACACATATTCATTGAATCATGCAGTGGAAGTAATACAATTTGTAGCTAAAAATTAACCAGTTTATGGAAAAGTACTTTATAATATTGTTCATATGATTCAAGTGATTAGTCTCACAAGTCTACGGAAATTAAAAATGATTGCCTTTGCCAAATGACTCGTGGCCACAGTGGTTTTAAATCAATACCAGCACTAGAATTGCTAGGAACATCTTTATAAATGGACGTATAGTCTCCATTATTACAAACATGTCTAATTAAAACAATGTTGGCTCCAATGATTATAGTCATTTGATAGTTGAATTGTGGTGAATTGGGGACTGGAGTGAAAAAAACATTAGGAGCTAAGTCAGATAATTACTGAGGGTGTACTTCTTTATATCAACAAATTGTATTACTTCATATAACTTACAGATTTCTTTCTCTGAAGCTTTCTTGAAGCTCACCAAGATTCAGAATAGTAACATCACATGGCAGCTTGTCTTGTTTATTACCATTACAGCAATTTCAGTTCAAGTAGTGTTCAGCTGTGCATTGTTTTACTGTGAATTTTTTTATACTAATAAAGGCATGTTTTTTTTAATAAAAGAGTGGTGATGGAAAGCTTAAAGTGGCTCTAACCCTTGCGTTGTGAGCAGGAATGTGACATTAAGTTGCGTGTTGTGTGAAAAATATTTCCAACGATAAAACTGGTGTGAATGCACACATCATTGTAATTTGTATACTGACACATTGCAACAGTAAGGCATTATTGTTAAGCATTGATTTGTATATTGCTGTGTTCTGGTATAACCATACAAACTTACAATATACAGTATTGTTTCTGGCTCAAGATAAACTCGGTCAGAAGTGCAAAGATTAACCGAATAACCATTGGAAAGTTGTAATTAAGAACTAGTCTGTCAGGATATTAAATTTTACACTTTGGCAAATTTAGACGTTTGATGGTGTTCGGTGATTTTGTTATTTCTGTTGCTGAATATTCTGCCCTTCTTTAGTTTACTGATCTGGCTGCACATTTTAGTCTTTTCAGTCAAAACATTTTTTAAAAGAGCTGCACATCCTCAATCCTTAAACACAATTTTTAACTACAACCACTGAAATGAATTTGCAGGTTTAAGAGACTTGTAATATACTACTGATAACCATGATAAATGGATTGGAATTCCTGGCTTGCAAGCTAGAAATTGCTCATCAAAATGCACATTTTAGCTCTTTGTAGTGGTTGAGCATTTGAATAATTGTTGCACCCCTATATTTAGGAACAGAGTCAACTTTGAAGCAGTTTGTAAGCTTTTCAAGTGTGAGAAATAGGAAAGCAACACTTCAATGATGCTATTCTATCACACGTTTTGAAAAAAAGTTAATGATTAATGTAATGTTTATGAGGTTGAACAATTTCGATTTAAAATTCCATTCAGAGGGAGATGCAAATTTTAGCTAAATCTGATCCGAGTATAAATAGTAGCACTATTAGGCTCAAAGTTGGAGTTAGTGGGAGATTCATGCAATTTTAAAGGACAACATTTCTTTTGGTCATACTGCAGTTATTTACCAAATTGTAACTTCTGTTAGTCAACAACACTTTATGTGCTTTTAACTGTTGAACTCAATGAGTGGTAACATCCAGTACCTTGAGACGTCCTTAAGACTTGAAAGGCGTTACATAAATGTAATTTGTTATTTGATGGGATGGAGCACTTGCAACATTGCTTCACTTAGAAAAGTAATTATGAAGAGGATGAGTAGGCATCAGAATTGGAACTAGCAACCCATGTTAGGATCTTGAATGCAAATACCACAGAAAAAGAAACAAACTGCTCCAAAATGAGCTGGTGACAAGTATAAGTGAGCAACCTTTCCTGTGAAAATGTGACAGTTATCTTGTGATTTTTTTTTAAAAAATGTAAAAATTGACTTAATATCCCATTATAAATGACTGCACATTTTCTCAGACTAACATATTGATAGTGTCTGGTTTTGAAGTCATGCTAATGGCTACTTGCCTGGTCTGCTGTACATTGGATAAATATTTGAGCATAGAAGTGTTAATTTATTCCCCCACCCCCTTAATTTAAAAAAAATCTATTCCAACTAAATCTTATTTTCCTAATTTATTATCAAGCCAGATACACAGCGATAATTATTGTTAATCAATGGAATACTACTCGATTGTATTAAAAATGCAAATTTAACAATTTTGCTTCTGTCTGCATTAAGGTACTCTTTTTAACGTTCTTTTCAAATTCATTTTCATTGTACAGTGAGTCACTGCAGATAAAACTGTCTTTAAGAACTGCCATGAGAGAATTCCATTGCAGCTAGATTTTTTGTATTGTAATGTGGTCATTTTATCTAATCATTTTGTATTCATTTTTGTAATGACGTCTTGTTCATTAAAAATATGACTTCAAATGCTGATGAGAAACCGTTATTTCATGTTTATCTCTGCAGTCAATTTATTTTCACAGATTTATCGCATAAAGGTTAGTTGACCTTTCGGTTAATCCCACTTAAACATGGCCTTAAAATAATTGTCTTTGTGTACAGCTACCTTGTGTTACCATTCTGTTGTGTTTAATTATAATGTAAATGACATATGGGTGACTTATCATTAAACTTTTTTTTCTAAAAAAAATCCAGAAACCAGTAACTACGTAGAACCTATTTGAGCAGATTTGGCAAAAACTAATCAGTGAGTTAACACATTGAACCATCTAAATTGAACATAGTATGTTTCTTATTTTCAACTTGGGTCATGAGGATTGATGGAAATTGGAAGGATTTCTATTTCCATTGCTCAAACATGGCTGTTAGCTAACTGACTGGAAAAAAATACAATAGGGTCCTCCACAGAAATAATAAATTGTATGTTGTGTCTTAAATCCTACTCATTTTATATTACCAAATCCACTGTGGTAAAGGTTGAACAATGCACAGCCAAGATTCAACCCATCATAGCTTGAGGGGAGCTTTCCTCATTGTTCGTTCAAATTGAAGGAATAATTGTACAGTTTAAACATTATAATTTAATTACAAAATGTACAGTCGATTAACTTTGCGGTATATTCTGTGAAGCACTTTGAGACGTCACAATGACTTGATAAGGCGCTATATTAAATGCAAGGATTATTATTAATTTGAGTAAGATCTATTAAGGTACTATTGAGGTTATTTTTGAGAAATATTAAAGGGTATTGGAAACGAGCAGGAAAAGTGGAGAACACTGCAATTTTGATGGCCTGAATGGGCAGTTTTGTGCTGATAACATTTTATTATTCATTACTTGTCTCGTCAACATTTCAAATATTTGCCATCAATAATCTTAGTTTGTCCCCTCTGAAACCTAAAATTAAAACCCAAACCAAATGTAATTATTCAATACAAAATCAATTTAATTAATGGAAAACATTGTCAAAGGCATGGAAAAATTCTTAGCAATGATGTTTCAAACAATACTAAACCACTTTATTAGACAAGCAAGAATGCTTATGGGTACAGATTGAAGTGTATTTTTTACAGCAATGTTTAATCAATAAGCTGTTCAACATTGATCCACAAATTCCTCCTTAAAATAAACCACAGAACTCCCCTGTTTATAGTACTATTCAGTTTGCTGATCTCTTGATGCTTATTCCATTCTGTTTTCCTCTACTACATTGGCTTGTCATTACAAAACTATTGCATACTTACTCCACACTCTTTCCTGGGTAATACAGTATCCATTCCGTAGATCCCTGTGGATATCCACTTCCCTTGGAAGCCAATATGTTATCACTTGTTTTGTGCCTTTTAATGTGCAGTATATACACTGAAAAACTGAACTATGCCACCACACTACTAATTCTGCGTGCTGAGGATCAATGGAAAAGATTCCCGAGGATCGAGGAACAATGTGGCTAATCCAAACAGGTCAGGACCTAATGCTGCCCAGACTAGTGATTTGCTTAGATGTGCAATTGGAAGAACATAAAAGGGAGAAGAGTACCATCTTTCACAAGATTTAGTCAGTGCTGTATGGTACTGAAATATTTTAATCACAGGCGTTACAATTAATAGCCGTGGATGGTATTAATATTCTAATGCAACTTTTAAAAAAAAGCAAAATTGCTATTACACAGCATAGTAAATCATTGTTCTCCACCAAGTTGGGTTGTATGTACAGTTTTTTTGGTAAACCTTCGACAGACATGACAGAATGTAAAACATAAAAAATAGAAGTGGAATAAAAGGATGTAATGCAAAGAAAAGCATCAAGAAACATGAATGTATCTTGTCAGTTGGCCACAATTGTAAAATTTGTGATGTTTCTTAACAGATTTTCAGCTTTTGAATCTTCACCTCAAATAGGGCTGTAAAGCAAGATTCAAGCTGGTTATGTGAAAAAAATAGGCACCAAGTAAAAGATTTACAGTATAAGCAGTGATAAGACTGTTCACTGTAATCATTACAATTAGAAAACAAAGGAGTTTCCCCGAGTAGCTAAGACCTTATAAGTTCAGAATGTCTGCTAATGGCAATTGCATAATTCTTGAAGACACAGTGGTACTAATGTAGTTTATAGTTAATTAACTCCTCATATTACTGACTTACTGGTGTATTAGTATCTGATGAACAGAATGAAAAAATTCCAACAAGGAAAAAAAACGTGAGCTGGATTAATTAGAACATTGTTTATCCATAGTATAACACCACTAAAATGAATGACTGTTTCAGATGAGCCAAAAAACCATTACATTTGCTCGCTTTATGCAGGGGACCTATTGAATGCATAGGAGACGGCAAATATAAAGAAAGATACAGCTACAGTTCTATCAATGGCATAAAATATAGAAACAACGCTAAGAATATGTGCATATTTAAAGCACTGGCTGGGTTGGATTAAAATAAGCTTCATTTTAAAACCGCTATTTGTCAATTTCACATCATAAGTAAATTGGAAAGTGAGAAAGGGTAGAATTTTACTATTTTGCAAGTCAATTTTAAAGCTTAACATGTAACTGTTATGCAGCGGTGTAAATTTAAAATTATCGCTGAGGATTTTAATCCTAGAAATTTGCTTCTTTTAATGCCACTGGCCTTCGATTCCCAAATAAATACTTCCACATTTAAAAGCTTTCTGTAATGCCTTCAGCCGCCTTTCTGCTCAGGACCATGTAATGATTCTAGATTATCTGCTTCCTTATATTCACTTCTGTTATGATGCGTAGAGCTTTCCAGAATTGATCATGTTCGCTCCACGTAATTTATTTCTTAGTGGAATAATAAAAGGATATACACATAGGAGGGATAGGAGTTAGATAGTAGCATCATGCAGTACTAAAGTCTCACTTTTTGCACAAAGGTTTTCTCAAAACCAATCTTCAGGCTGAATAATCACTGTTTGCATAGCAATAAATTATGTACAGCTAAGGTAGACTATTTGTTAGTTATATTTTGTACAACTATAAAAGATCTTTTCTGCAACATTTTAATATGTTCCTTGCCTCTGTGATTACCTTAATTCACCATCCAAAACTAACTGCTCACACTGCATCTCACTTTGCTTTCATGAATGGCCATGTTGGTTTGATTGTAATCAATCCTGTTTTTTCATGCTGCTCCTTTTTCCAGGTTGCTCTGTCAGAGGCTGTTTCAAAGTATGTAAGTATATTTACAGGTTGCATATATTTTGTTACTATTATTTTAAAAGTTACACCATTTTCATGCCTGAAGTAGCATTGCATTATACAACGACTTTATACAAAAATGCTGAAGAAATATTGAAATAGTTTTAAACATTCAAGATAGCCTCTGCCTCATCTTTATATCATCTTAAAATCAGCAATATGATACAGCGGGACAAGGAATGCTTACAGGAGTTACAGAATGCTGCGACAGATGTTAAAGAATGCTTCGTCTACAACTTAATACATTGATTTCCTAGTTCATGCAAATACATAACACTGGTATGGACGTTTCTTGAGTAGCATTAACTTTTGTCCTGGTAAAATTCAGTTGATAAAAAGTTTTCCATTGTTGGTCATCTTGATATTTCCAAATCGTTCTCAGTGACGGGGAGGTGGAGGTAATGGACCCATTTTCAGACTGTCATAAGTATCTTGTGTAGCACTACTCAGTCCCTGCAAAAGTTAAAAAAAATTAAGCCTTTATTTATCTTGCGTCTTTAAAGACCCCTATGGTGCTATTCGAAAAGAGATGGGAGTTTCTCCTGGTGTCCTGGCCAATAAATAAATAAATCCAATAAATAAAATTGGTTATTCATTTCATTGCTGATTGTGTGACATTGCTGTGCGCAAATTCGCTGCTGCACTCACCTTCAAAATGCACAGTCACTACATTTTACAGCAATATCCTGTAAAGGTCTTTGAGACATTTTGACGACGTGATATCTCAAATGCAAGGCTTATCATTGATGATCATTTATCAATTCCCCATGTAAACAGTCTATTAACTGTTTACAAATCTGCATTCGACTGTGTACACTTTCTGCCATTTTCCTTGCAGATGAGATGCTGTTGGCTCAGTATTCCTCATGAATGAGGTGCAGCCAAATGTCATTTCTGATTTAGGTCAAGGGTAGAAACGAGATCACAAAGAGGTAGATTTATGAATTATTTATGTGAATTTGGAATAATTTGTGCAAAATAATTGTCAAAATTTTACTTTTTAGGTAAAGTCATTCACCAAGCTTGGAAAGTGGAGAATATCATCTATTATGGATGTTCATGTGGCTTTAGTACACGCTAGGAAGAATTCTCCTTTTAACCTTCAAGCAAATGTTATCCTTGGAAGAACGATGGCAGAGATGGCTTTATTTTAGCCTGTGCAATAATTTATGGTCAGCATTAAAGGTTTTGTTACTGACAAGCTTCAGCTTTTAGTAACCATGGTAACCAAAAACTGTAAAAAGACCAGACTTTTGCTGTCCATTTGGGGGAAAAAAATGTAGTTTCAGGGATGCGTTATGGGAATAGAACCTTTCGCCTTCTAAACGTCAATAGGGAACATCCAATTGGTTTCTGTTGCTTGCTAGGAAGTAGCATGAAGTCCATCACTGCACTTTAACTGGCAAAGGAACATTGCTTGTTGAGTAGTGCAGCCATTATGGAACAATTTTTAGGTGGCATCTAACACTACATCACCTTTAATGGTAATATCCCAGTGTCCTTCCTTACACCCAACAGAGCACGCATCAATCATTATTTTAATTGCTAATTTCCTACCTGGTAAATGTCGTTCCCTCCTTTGCCTCTTCGTGCCTGTTGAAGTAAAGAATGGCACAGGTTAGGACCGTTTTGGTTATTGTTGAAATACATGAATAGTTTATCAATGACCCCAGGACTACGCAAAAAAACCTGTTAAAGTAGAACCTTAATCCCACTATGCATTATGGATGGAAATGGAAGCATCCTAATTGCTATGGTATGGGATAGGGCGGAGTCTGCAGACTACAGAAAGGGGAATTTTCCTAATCGAAAAGGATTTTCTCCCAGCTGCACTCCTTCCCCCCAACCAAACTACAATGTATTACATAACAAACACTACAAGAGAACTCAGCGATAGTGAGGTAGTTGGAACACTATAAAATCCAAACATGCCTTATAATGTCGCTTTATGTGCACTCAGACAGGTGTCCTACCAGCGTTTTGAACGGAGACAACATGATCTGAAGCAAGCTAGACTGTTCTCCCTGTGCTTTTTGGATTTTTCTTGGTAAGTAAACCAAATGTTATTTAAGCAAACCCACATTATAACAGGGATCTATTGTTTTTTTTTACAGTTTTTCCCACAAAATAGTCGATTCACTTTACAGTAAAGCCTGTGAGGCGCTTTGAGATGTCTCAATGACGTGATAAGGCACTATATCAAATTCAAGGATCATTATTATTATTATTTTGAGCAAGTCCCTTCCCAGGCTCCATCCCATACGTCTTCACTTTTAGGGAGATGTACTCTCTTCAAACTGACATTTTGAAAAGGAAATCTACAAAACATTGTGTAGACTATTAGAGAAACGAATGGTTCAGTCCATTCAATAGGGTAAACTACAAGAAAAAACAGCTAAATAAAACTAGTAGCATGGCTCAGTTTGCAAACATATGCACATATAAGAACTCCATGCATTATATTGTATAGATCTGCAATGTTTCTAAAGCTGATGTCCTCCCGACTTGAAAGGCGCTATACAAATGTAATTTGTTGTTTTTGTGGTATCTATCTGAGATGCTGGACAAATGAAAATCATCTTAGTCACCTACATTATTTTCTTCTCAAACACCAACCCTTCTGTTACGATGGAATTACAATTTACACGTATAATGGAAAACTCACCTCAAGGTCATTTCACAAAGTTAGGCGACTCGCTCATGTGTCAGTATTTTGCAGTATCTTTCATTTTAACATTGCAGTGTACAGTAATACAACCTCCCTCATGAACTCAATCTGCTTGTGTAGTCATAATTCCTCTGTCCACTTGCTGATCCTATCAGTGAGTTTCCACTCTACATACTTCACTATATGCCAGACATGTTGAGAATGATGATGCATTTGTATCATGATTCCCTGCCAGGCAAGCAGTCTAGTTGAGGGCTAACCCAGCAAGAATCAGACTGGAGCCTACCCTCCTGGCATCAGCAAATGCACACACACTATCTAAAAGTGCAGGCCATGCAACAACATATATATTGTACATTTTTATCCTTTGTGTACTGTACTATCTACAGGAGTAGATTGTATGTTCATTAATGATCAAAAGCTGATCAGAATTTCTTTTTAGTATTATATTTACTATATTATCCCACACTAAAAAATCACTCCACTTTATAGTGTATCTGTGCTCCCAAAGTGAAAGACACTGTACCAAATGTAAGGAGTATTATTATTATTATTTACACGTATGAATAAAACAAGTGGCATTGAAAGTTACAACTAGATAAGGCTGTGTGGATGAAGTTGCAGCACGCATCAATAGATCAGTCAACATTTCTCATACCTGCTGAGTTGGTTTCAGTTCACCGTATGCTTCACTCTTGTTCTTGGGATTCAGTTTCTACAAATAAAATATACACATAGATATCTTCAGGCAAAAGTCTCTCATTTTGTAATGTTCATTAAGGATCAAAAGCTAATCAGAATAAAAAAAAATTACAACACAAAAACATCTATTTTTCCCCCCCAAAAAAATCCCTATTCATTTGGTTTGTCCTTCTACTCCACTCATGACCTCTTAACCGAGACTGTGACTATGACAGCTCCTTTCACATGCTTACTCCAACACTCCTCCGGATAGCCCTGCTATTTTATAAATAGCTACTAGGCCGTGTATAAGAGTTGCAATGTTTTAAGTTGTTTCACAATTTCTACCCCTCTCTATGCTCAATGTTTCCCTGGAATAGTCCAGATCCAAATGGTTGGAAAATAAATTACCACAAAGCCAGTCCCAATGTCAAATATCTTCAGGTATCTATGCTGCAAGATAGGATGACCCTAAAAGCTTATAGATGTGGAGGCTGATGCAGTTAACTATAATTATTGGTTTGTGCTTCTGAAAAACTAATACTGATTCACTCCTCTGTTTATAAAGTTTGCCGTTAACTAGGCATTTAATAGCACTGATGACAATTATAGAGATGCTGACTATACTCGGGATATTTTGCTCTGGGCTGTTTTGCAAACCAATTATGGGGACTTGTATGTATAAAAATTGAATTCACCACAATTCCTGATTCTGGCAGTACTGGAGAAGCTTGTTGGATCAATGGCTGTATTTCTCTGATGAGTATATCCGTTTTAGAATTTTAATGTTGCTGAACTCAAAACAGGGCAAATTTGGCCCGGGTCACAATACCTCATATGGGGATTGTTCCCAGAAACTGGGGACGTATAGTCACCCTAATGTGTAGGGTGTCACCCTCTGTGCCAATAAATGGTTTCCACTGAAGAATTAGGTCAGAATAAAAGAGCCTGGAGATCAGAGAGAGGAACTGCGGCCTCTATACCAGATGGCTTTTGGTCAAGGCTGTCCACTGCTTGAACTCTTCCACAATTGCTTGGGAGCAGGTGGTGAATTCAAATTCTTAATAACCATTTCTATTCCTTTTCAAATTAGTTCATGCCTTGCATTCACAAGCTAGTAAAACAATGAATTAATGGTAACTGCCATGGTATTTGTTCAGCTGGGATGGCCCTATCTGGTAGCATTTTGATTTGCAGGGTTTATGACTTGTCTGCACCTTTATTTCTCATCAACGAGCCAGGCAAACTCGTCAATCGACAACAGTGCCTGTACGGATCTCTCTTTGCCAAGTGTGTCTACCTTCTCATCTTCCTCAGGCAATAAAGCTCCATGCCAAGTAGTGCAACTGTGATCAGCATAGCTATCAGTGCCAATATTACACTTTATGTCTATTAATGCTCCTGCTTTTACTGCTGAAATGCAATTGCAAAATACTTTGAAGTCACAAACGGTACTTACAGTATAAGTATCATTCACATTTGCAGAATCATCTCTCCTCCTTCGGTTCTGATAAAAAAGCATAGAATGGGCTGTTTTAGATTCAGCTGTACTGAGTTTGCAAAAAGAAAATATAGAATCGCAGATTGTTACAGCACAAAAAAACAGTTTATTCAACCCGTCAATTCAGCCCTTGGTGCTCCCTGGTAACATAGCCAGGAGAAGAGTGGTGGAGACCCAGTTTAGTATGGCAAAGTTGTGAAGGCACTGCTAGCAAGAGGCACTCTTCCTGTATAACTATAAATACAGCACCTTTATTGTTATAAAGTCCAAGGATTATTTTTTTCAAGCAGTTATTTGCACCATAAAAATACCACAAACAAGAGGATCTGAATTAATTAATCAATGAATCTGGAGGATTATGCTCAGGATATAAATTCCCTTTTCCTTTCAAACAGTGCCAGCAGCAGGTGGGGTGAACACAGTAAACATGACAAATAAAGTGTTGCCCCTCAAAGTATAAGCTACAGGTCAAATAACCCTCAGGTTTAAAAATACTCTTAGGTTTTGCACCTATTGAAAACGAATGGAATTAAGCCCCCTCAATCAGCATGAATATTGAGGCTCAAGATTGACTTTTTACATTGAAGTAGGGCCTGTGAGAAACCACAAACAGGAAAACATCCTCTTATTTCCTGTTCTACTTTCTGTTTCAAGCTTAAGAGGTCAGTAAGAAATTGCAAATTCCAATATCGGTGACGTATCAATAGTCCATTTAAAATAGAGCAGATGTCAAATGTAAAAAGTTTTGAATGATACAAAAACCAACTATATAATAACTATATAATAATAAAACTATGATCAAACAAGGGATGGAAGATTATAATTTATACATATTGTAAAGATGTCTCAATTATAAACCTTTTGAGCTTGCACTGTCCGTCCCTTTAGGAAAACAATAAAATAATATAATAAAAATTGTATTTGATATACAGCACTTTTCACGTCAGGGAGAACTTCTCAAAGCAGTTCACAGGATTTAATCTAAGGTGTGGTGACTGTATTTTGTAGCCGAATTTGTAGTCTAATCCCTCCCCACCCCTTTTGGCTCTCACCTGCCAAACACTGGTATCCAGCCAGCAGTGACGAGCACTTTGACATTTCCTCCCAATTATGAATGGTGCTATTTAAATGTAAATGGTGTTATAATTCTACCTCCATTTCAACAAGAAAGGGCTATACCTGTGCTTGACAATGCAGAAAAGGTTAGGGATCGATATTGTGAGATCAATACCGAGAGTGAAAAACAAACAGTTATATTTTTCACTCTCAGTATCGATGGATGGAAACATAAGTAAGCAGCACAGAGATCTGAAGGAAACCTCAAGCAGTGAGGTTGAGGAGGAGGTGTCTAAAGAGGACAGCGAGGCTGGGAAGAGAAAAACTTGATGCAACAAACTGGCTAGGCATTGCTTGAAGCTGGAGAACATAGGGACATAGACACAGGCAAACGCCAATTGATCTATTGAGCCTGCTCCACCACAGAAGATCTTGCATTTTAAGGCATTAACTTCAATGCCAAGGCAATGAAGATTCTTGACATCTCAGGTCTTCAGCATTTCTGTTCAGTCAGTCATGGTCAGTCTTCATTTTTAAACTGGATTATTCAAAGCCTTAACAATAATTTTTGTTTGTATTTGAGATTACATTTGGTTCTTGTCAACATGACCCCAATAGAGTGCAATTTCCACCGCCGTTGTGTATCGCAAAGACTGTTTTAACTCTTTGTATGTCCTGAGAGATGTTGAAACAGATGTGCACTGACCATAATCCAATTCAGTCTAGTGATATTAGAATTCACCATCCATTTAAATTGTCCGTTACCATCTCTAGTATAATCACAGAATCCAATAGCGCAGAACGAGGCCATTCAGCCCATCGTATCTATGCTGGTTCTTTGAAAGAGCTGCCCAATTTGCCCCACTCCCCCGCTCTTTCCCCAAGTAAATATCTTCTGAACTCGAGTCCATGTCTTCCCCCCTCGACCCCTCCCCAACCCATTGCAGATTTGTTGGCCACGTTAAATGCTTTATGAAGGTTCAGTTTATCTCGTTTTTTTTCACGTACAGCAAGTGCACACTGATTTATCGCTCTGAAGAAACAAAAGATATTCACGTGCATTCGTTACCAAAGACGTCTTTACAGGCCCCAGATGTATGTAGCATACTCCTACTCCCTGTGGTTAGGTGGGGGGCCAGGCATGCACCAGTGGTGTTGTTTTCATGTTGATTTTTTTTTGATAAATTTTCCACTCTGACGTATCTACTCTTGGCTCTACTACTTGTACCAAAAAGAACTGTACACTGCACAAAACCTTATCAACGGAAGAAACTACAGATGAACAGATGGCTGAAACTACAAAATACAGATGAACCACCTCCCCTCCCCTCGTGGGGAAGAGAAACAAAAGGTTTGACTTTGGCAGGTCCATTAAGGAACAACAACCTTCTGTTTTAATGTTTTCCAATTGATTTGCGCTTACCATCCGGGCTGTTAATTGGATCGCCCAGAAAGAAATGAACTTCTTCATTTGCCACATTGTCCTCATTAATCAAATGGGTTGTTGTTGATATGAACACAAGAGGTGTCTAGCTTGTAGGACCTTGTGGGAATGTCTCAATTAACTGCTTCAAATCTATCCTGAAGTGTTAGTGTACTTTCAATTGATGAAAAATGGATGATGTATTATGGTTATAGTCTCCAGTATTCCTTGAAAGCAGTTCAATTTCTACACATAAGTACAGGAACAGAAGGAACCCATTCAAGCCATCGAGCTTGCTGTAGTTTATTAGTTCATAACAGACCTTTTAATACCATTTCTAGAGTGGGATAAGTGTATGAAATCTTACAGCAAAGCCCTGTTATATCATGGGATTCATACTGCCTATATCTGGGTGTGATTGACAGTCAGTGCTTCCACAATCACTTTGCATGGGTACTATAAAAATGCAACTTTTCCTTTTTTTAAAACCACGTCTCCTCTCTCCACACTGCCTCCCAACCACACCCCATGCATATAGGTGCACTCTTTGTAATGTCGTGAACTTGACACGTAAGATAGACGTGTAAGTAGAGTGGAGATTGCTACTTCATCATTTCAGCATCTTCATCTTTAAAGTTATCACTGTATAAGCTTTTGCTCGTCGTGAGCGCTGTTGTTTCACAAACTGCAGTAGAAGATGAAATACATTACCCGCTTTCCAGCTCCAGCCTCTGCATCTTGGCCGGAAAAGGCAAGACTTGAATATTGATCCTTATCCTGATTCCGCAGGGTCTGTAAAGTATACAGAGGTCACTGTTACTACCACCACAAATGAGAGAAAATCTGTGCTGGAAATGTATTGCCAAAGTGATTCTGCATTGCTTCTGACGCAAAGCAATGTGGAGCAGGCAACCGCACTCACATGTTCCACTCCAGAAACTAGCATCCCCTGGGAGCAGAGTATGTTCTACTAACTGATTTTATTAAAAAAATAAGTCACAAGATCAAAAGATCATAAAGATTGGTTTGAATGAAGAAGACCCTTTGGCCCATTCTTCATCTCATCCTTCAGAATTTTATGCGTTTCGTCCTCAAAATATAGTCAATTCACTTTACAGTATATTCTGTGAAGCACTTTGAGATGTCCCAATGATGTGATAAGGCACTATATCAAATGCAAGGATTATTATTATTATTATCCAATCCTACTCTCAGCATTGAGCTATTTTTTAAATGAGTTCAGTGTCTGGACCCTCCTTTCTGGTAACCCCCGTTCCAGCTATTAATTACCTTCTTGGTAAAGAAATAATTCCAGGTGTCTGTCCTGAAATGGCCCAATTGCAACTCCGAACCTGTGTTCTCTCTGTCCTAATGCCCCAACGCATCTGAAAGCAATGTTCAGGGTCTACTTTTTCAATCCCATTTAGAATCTTGTTCACCTCTATAAAATGATCTCTGGGATGTCTTGTTTCAAGGCCAAAAGCCCTAGCTAAGCTAATCGTTTGTTGCTCAAGTTATTAAAGACTGGTTCATGACTAGTATTTTAATAAATATCAGATAAAGTTTAAGGGAGGTTCGATAGATTTTCAGACTTATTTTTGTAACATTTAAAGCTTAAAAGTTATTGGTTGAACTCTGTTGTAGTACAAACCAAATTCATACTACAAATAATAAATTGATTTGATTCCTGTTGTTTTGAGAACTGGGTTCAGAATCAAAGCGATTCATTCAAGTGTTGAACAACAACACTTCTCCACTGGAGGGGGGAAATCAACAGTCTAAATCCCAACAGGATTTATAAATGATCAGTAAATATTGAACCCTACCAGTATTTGATTGTGTGTACAGGAACTGTGCTCTGATGCAATCTCCTTTGGGGTTTAATATGGTCCTGGCAGTGGCTCTTGTTTTCTGATTCAGAGTTTAAACCCTTTGTCATGCTGCTGTGATCAATATTTGCACCGTTTGCCAAGGGAAGAATAATAACCACCTTTGCGACACAAATCTTCATAGCTTAGAGGTTTAAAACAACGACTTACTTGATATTGGTCTTCTATGTTCGGTGTGCTTCCAGCAGCATCTCCAGGCTTGTTCTTTACCTTGGTAAACTGTGAAAACAAAATAGTAAAACAAATTTTGCAGTAAGTCCTGCAGTTTTCTATCTCTTAGGCCTGTTTAAGTCTATTGCTGCTACGTCCATTAAAACAGCTCGGGGATACAAATCTGGAACTATGCTCCTGATCCGTCAAAAACTAACTATAGACAAAGCATGTTATTTTATTTAAAGAGACATGTCATCCCACCCAGCCCCAGACTGTATTTGCCTTAATTGTAAACGGTGCAGAATTGTGGAAAATTCTTAAATTCAGTCACAAGTTGAAAGCCGAAGGATAACAACCAGTGACGTAATGAAAGGATAGCTGTTTTTGTGAGGCAACAGCTGGGTCTTTTGAATCTGGTGCAGTTCGGATTCCTGTGGTGGTTTGGAGAATACCAGCTAAACTCAACTTTTAAAGTTTAAACTCCACTTTAAAGGTTATGGTTGATAATTATCACATCAGCACGTTTTTCAACACATTGTATGTGCAGAGGCAAGGTTGTCAACGTACTGCACTGACACGCAGAGAATCACCCTTAAACACCTTCATAGCTGAATAGTAACATGCAATGTTAAGCAACTTACCCTCAATTTAAGGTACAGTGCAGTGATTATAATCCCATAGATAAAAAGAATTCCATCCAAAATATAGCAGAGTTTGGGGTCAGTCAGGGTCATTGCGTCAGCATCTGTCAGAATAGGAAAAGAATCTAGTCAATGATTTGCTTTGATTGATAATCATATTACTTGTATTTGATAAAGCGACTCAACACATCGAAATGTCTGACATTGGCTGCCACCTTGGCCTAGAAAGTATACAATCACTTAACTTTACAGTAAATCCTGCGAAGCTCTTTGAGATGTTCTCCTAACTTTCTATCATGAAAGCTAGAGGCTGGAAGGTTTATGGGGCTAGTGCAGGGCAATGAAATTGAAAGTATAGCTAGTGCAGACCCCACGGGTCGTATGGCCTCCTCCTATTTTTAGCTGTTTAGATCTGGCCCAAAATTGGATAATATTGATAGTTCACTTCAAACCATGGGTCAGACTCAAATCCAGGACAATTAATTCATCCTGCAAGTGATTGCTTCTACTATTAAAATTTACTCTGGGTGCTTTAGTTTTACACATTGTTCTTTTGTTTTAATAATAATCCATCCATTAGATATAACGTCTCATCACGTCTTTGAGATGTCTCAAAGTGCTTCACAGAATATATTGTAAACTGGATTGATGTATAAATATTTTTGGAAAATTTACAGGGTATTTTGGGTGAATTTGTCTCGGGACCATATATAGCTCAACACCAACTTCTGGAAATTATTCCTTTATGCGTGCACAATTGTTACTATCCTATGCTAATCATCCTTTTGAGAATGCTATATAAACAGAAATAAGGGCAAACTTCAGACCTAGATCCACCGGAACGAGTTTCATGCTGCCTGCATTGTCCCTGGGCTCTCACTGCTATTTACAGAAAATCCTGTGAAGCATTTTGATCTTTCATCCCTATAAACAAGCAGTGTATGTTATAAGGATTCCATTAGTCTGGACTGGGTTACACGGCATGTCATAGAAATGATAGAACAGCTTGCTTAGCATCTTATGCCATCTGTTTGCATATCTTGGTCTTTGTCACAGCGTTTGAAGAAAAGTCTACAAAAAAAATTAGTTGCATTGATGTCTGTTTCTCTCCCTTTCCCCCTCCTCCCCCACCATTGCTCCACCAAGATTATATTTCTGATTAGCAGTACGGTAGATTACAAATGCAATGATTTTGGTAAGGTACAAAAACAAATAAAATGTGATTTGAAAATAGTTTACTGTACAAATTAATGGAAAATCAAGTGTGGTAGATTAGAAGCTGTTTATGGTATTTACTGAATACGGATGGTTAACTCAGTCAGTTAACTCATTATATCACAAGGTAACTAGCTTTTTTTGATAAAATCACAAGATCAGATTGGATGAAGAAGATCCTTTGGCCCATCTTATCCCTCCAGAGCACTCACCCTATTGTCTTCTCATCACAACATCAAGATACTTTTTAATGAGTTCAGTGTCCTGACCTTTACCAGCTTCCTGGCAACCTGTACTATTTGTTAATTACTTTCCTGGATTAAGAAAAACTTAAAATAATAAAAATCCTTGCATTTGATATTGCACTAAGCGTTTCACAAAATATACCGTAAAGTGAATTGACTATATTCTGTGGGCGAAATGCATCAGCCGATTGCAAGCATCAGTATCCCGCAAACTGTCGTGGATTGAGTGACCAATTTATTATTTTTTTAAGGAATTATTACTCCCGGAAAAGCGATCCGCCAATCGACTAACAACCGGTTCCTACTTACTGCTAGGTAAACAGAAGTGTTAAGTTGCTCAACGTTTCGCCCTACTAGGAATCAAACTCAGGTCCTCTCACTTGCGAGATGAATGCCACTAAGCTGCAGGACTTCCTGGTATCTGTCCTGAAATTGCCCTTTGAAGCTCTAAATCTATGTCCAACTGTCTTGGTGCAACCTAAAGTATTGTTCTGGGTTTACTTTTTCAAATCGAGTTTACTTTTTAATCCCATTTAAATAACATTTACATCTTTGTAATAATAATAATAATCCTTACATTTAGTATAGCACCTTTTACGTCAGGAGGATCTGTCAAAGCAGTTCACAGGATATACAACTGTGTTTCGCCCAGAAAATACACAGTCACTACCCTTTCGATAATATTCTGTGAGGTGCTTTGAGATTTCTCAACAACGTGAAAAGGCGCTAAATAAAATGCAAGGATTATTATTATTATATTACAGCGAAATGTTGTGACGTTGTATTTTATAGCCACTCACGTAAATAACCTTTTAAGAAATTCTTCATCAAAAGTAAATTTAAATGGTACAGTTTGGGTGACCAATTAATTAGCAAAACTAATTATCAAAGGAAAGCAATTAACTAATAGTCCTCTTAATCCCACTTCCTACAATGGAGTGATTTCCTTACAAAAACCCTTTAAAATTATCGAACCTTTAATAAGATATGACATTTTACACTGAATAAGAAAGTGCAATGATCATACAATTCAGGTTTGCTTGATCCTTCCATTAATGTTACAAGAACTCAATTGTATGAAATGTAATTTATCTTTAAATTATATATTTGTGTTGCTGGATTCATTATTTTATGGTAATAATCCGTGCATTTGCATTTGAATGCTTTTCACATCAGGAGGATTTCTCAAAACACTTCACAGGATTTACTGTAAAGTGTAGAGACTGGGTGTTTTGTAAGCGAAGTAACCAAAATATTAGTTTGGTTTTCCAGACGTAAAGTGAGAACTGATTCTTCATATATGCAGTGGTTACTTTATAAAGAGAACAAAAGTACATTTCAAAGCTCTTCAACAAAGCTCAATACATTGTATTGTCAATACCAACCACATCCTTTCAGAAGTTAATGCTGTTTTGTCTCGTTCTGGTTCCTGAACTATAAGCCTTTTTAACCTGTGGTCTTTTATTTCAACATGTCCATCAGCATGGCCGGAAATACTATGTCAAAATGTTAATTTCAGAGTATGAGGCAGGCCATGTGTTCAAGCTGATTAGACAGCTTTCGTATGGGTCTGTGCTGAATTAACGGACCTCAGATTGGCAGCACAGAACTTTCTATTCTGGGTCAGGGAAGGAAAGATCATCCAGGGTTAATATCTGATGTGCACAGCAGTTCATGCATAAATGAAAACATACTTTCCAAGAAATATGCACATTCCACTTCGATGGCTTCATAGCTCGGTTTCATTTTCGACTAAGAACTGCATTTCATAATGTGGTAAAATGAAAAGAACGGTTCCTTCCACCACTTGGAATGGGGCCCATGAGAGTATGAAAACAACATGTGGTGTTCTTCAAACTATCACAAGTCAGGCATGCTTCAGTGGGAAATTGTATAACAGCTTGCAAATCTGGGACTCTTCCTCCTCGTCTCCAATCCAACTGAAAACGCTAGGCAGAGTCCTCCAAAAGGAGGCAAGACTTAGTACCTGGCGGAGTTGGTCCAGGGCTGCAACTTTCAGGCTCTGAGCCACTCTGACATTGAAGGCATCACAATCTCCTGCATGTGTATCACACTTTTACCCGCAGGAAAACATCTCAAAAGAGATTCATAGAGAAACTGTGCTCAAAGAATCAAAGGCTATGTAGAAAAAAAGTCTATCTCCTCCTTATTTAGACTTCGAGTCAGATAACTCAAATCGACAAGAGTGGGGACCACAAAATCCCAACTCCACATTGCTACCATAAAGAATTGTTTATCCACCAGTCACATTGCTGACAAATGCCATACAGTTACTAAATGAACCCTGTGTGCTGCAGTGGTGCTTGCTGCCCTGGAAGGACATCTCCTCTGTGCAGGGGAATAGGCCATGTCACAAGTAGAAGACAGATTCTCGTGTGTTGAGGTGACTTCTAATTTATTGAGATTCCTTAATGAGGAATCCAAGTCATTCAATTGAGGACTTCTTCCAGTAAACCAAACTATGTCACATGACCATTGGGAATACCTACACCACCAGATTTTAATTCCAGAGGGCAAATGGGATTAGAACCACTACGAAATAGGGTAAATTATAGCCCAATGTTACACTGGTAGTTAAAATAATATTTGGAATAGAATATAGGGGACTGAGATCTGTGTGATTCACACCCGCTGTGTTATACAGTGTGTGTGTGAGTTTCAGCACTCCTGACACCACCTCCAGCTATTGGTGTCAGGAAAGAGGCTCCAGTGAAATTCGCCGCCCGCTTTATACTCAGGCAGACAGGCAGCATAAACACAGCATTAGATTCTTTACCAGCAGCGGCTGAAATTGACCACAAAGGTAAGTTTGACCTATGGGAGGGAGGGCTGGCAGTGCAGTGAGCCCAGAGAGGACTGAACCTGGTTCCGACACTCAATAATAATCTTTGCGTTTGATACAGCGCCTTTCACATTGAGAGGACATCTCAAAGAGCTTCACAGGGTCTAGGATCGTGAGGCAAGTTTCCTTACTCCACCTGTCACTGTTCAATTAGTAGTAAGTAGGACTTGGTTTTTAGTCGATTTGCGGATCGCTTTTGCTGGGGTAATAATCCCTTCAAAAAAAAATTAATAATGGTAATCTGGTCACTCAATCCATGACTATTTGTGGGACACTGCTGTGTGAAATTGGCTGCTGCGTTTAGCCTACAAAATATACAATCAATTCATTTTACAGTATATTTTGTGGAGTGCTTTGTGACATCTTGAAGAAGTGATAAGGCACGATTTCAAATGCAAGGATTATTATGACTTACACACATCTTCTCCTACACACACCTTGCTAACTCAGACCTGCTGCTCATTCCCCCACCCCACCGTCACTGTGCCACCATCAGTGATCGAGCCTTCAGTCATTACACCCCTAACCTTGAAAATTTAGAATCACAGGTGGATGTTAAAGATCCCATGGTACTATTCCAAAAGAGGAAGTTTTTCCTGGTGTCCTGACCAACAATCCCCCAAATAAAATTGGTCGCTCATTCCATGGCTGTTTGTGGGACATTGCTGTGCACAACTGGCTGCCGCGTTTCGTCCACAAAATTCACAGACACTCTCCACTTTACAGTATATCCTGTGAAACACTTTGAGATGTCTGATGAGGTGCTATATCAAATGCAAGG